GTTAAACTTGTCTACAGTTTTTTTTTTTTTAAGTTGGAAGCAAAAGCATAAGGAGTTCTGTGGTTCACAAAATCTCCCACCCCCTCCCCCAGGGATTCCAATTTTTAGGTGGCATTCCCCCTCCCAAACTGCTAGTGATGGAACATGGAGGTCCTGATTCCCTATCCTAAGCAGAACCACACTTTTACAGCCTCCTCGCCCTCTTTCCTGTAAGAGACTCTCCAGAGTCTGGTCCCATTTTCCTAACTCATACATGAGATATCCCCCTGCTTCTTTCTTTCCCACCCAGATCTCTTGCCTCTTACAAGTTGCCGAGGTTGAGAAACACTGCTCTAGAGGAACGAGCAAGTTGCAAAGTAACATTCATTATGTAAGACCTCCTCTGCCGGAGTACACAGATACCCTGTTAAGTAATAGTGAACCCACCATCAGAGTGAGTAAGCATTTTTTTCCCTCCTGGGATCCAGAGTTTTGGTGCTGCTTATCTACAGTTTTACAAGAATGAGGAAGAAGGGTTAAAACAGCTCCACCCTCTCCTTAATTGGAGAGTTTGTTTTATCCTGTAAAAGGGAACCCAAAGCAAGCACGTGCGTGGGTGTGTCAAGACAGGAGTCAAGCCAGGAAGGCAGCAGAGATGTGGGATAGAGAAACCTCTGACCCAAAGGCAAGTAGTCATCTTCAGACACTGAGAGAAAACTGCAATTCTTGGAGCTGCAAGACCGGCTGAGAAGCAGAGCTGAGAGATTGTGGAGGGGAGGAAAAGAGCCCAACCAGAGCTCCACACACCAGCTCCGGACTGTGAGACACAGGCATCCAGCTTGTCATCTTGCTAGCTGGCAGAGGCAGGCTGCTCCCAGAGGAACCATCTTCCCATAGTACAGTCGCCCACCCATGGTTTTGGCCCTGCTGTTCTGAAGCGGTGGAGGGGGGCAGAGAATGGGATATTGTGAGCATATGTTCAGCGCTGCACCAGTGTATTGCTGGGGCATCAAAGTAGCACGTGTCAAGCAATCTTTTGGAAGACCGCTAAATATATGTTGAAAAACCTGTAGCTTCAACACTGCAACATGTAAGTTGTGGGGTGAGGGGTGAATCTAATTCATGGGTGGCAGGAGGAAAGAGAAGGAAGCAGAGGAGAACAAGAAGTTTGCTGCTGGTCATGGAGGTCAGAGAACTGACAATAAAAGACCTGCTCCCTCCCTGACTTCTTCCTTCTGTGGGAGGAAGTGGGACTTTTCAGGGCTAGGAGGAAAGGCATCCCAAAGTACGAAGACAGTATGGGGTACAAAAAGGTATATGGACTTAAGCTGTATTTCAATAGCCTTTTTTACTGAACGCAGGCAAGTGATACAGACAGGTGTTAATAACATTCTTCTCAAGGATGAACACTTACAGCTCCATGCGGAAGTCCAGGCCACTGCCTGCTAGTAACTGAGAACAGAGATCATCTATCTTTTCACTTTGAGCCACAGTGAGATGCTCTTTCCAGTCTCCTACAGTACCTATAGGCGGGAAACAATCAAGAAAAATAAAAACCAGCCATTTCTGTTTCCTGAGCTCTTTTCCAACTATTTTAATAATCCAGCAGTGGGTTTCATCCTTCCTTTTTTTCAGAGTTAGGGTTAACATCTCCATATTAAATGCTCTACCATTTTCCTGCTCCATAGAATCCCACTTGCACTGCAGATAATGAGCATATGTTACACCTGTGCAACTGAATTTGAAAGCAAAAATAGGCTCTTTAAAGCAGCTGTATCATTGCCTGGGATTATTCAGCTGCCCTCTGGAGCTCCTGCTGAAAGACACATTTAACAGAAAGTTCTGCACAGCCCTGTATCGCTCTGTGACTGGGCCAGCTGAGCCTGCAATCCCAAACAGTCATTCCAGGAGACACCTGGAACCTCTGGATCAGGTAGTGCTGCTGGACCAACCCACCCCCAAAGAGATTAAAGTGAGCGTATGTGGGGAGGGAGATTACAATTAGAATATTGGATCTGCGTGTCAGTACAGATTGTCAAAGAAATACTGAGTTGGTTCAGGGCTAAGCCATTCTGGATTCTGCCTCTAAAACTTCTTCCCATGTTAGTGAATTAAGCATGAAAAGGCTCAAACATTTTCTCTGCTGAGAGGGATTTCTCTTTCTTTTTCCCTTATTGGTAATCAACACTGCTATTATCTAAGAATTAATGTGAGGAGAGCAGCAAATCAAGACCTCATCATTGGGAAATGAGTACCAACTAACTGTCAACGGAAAGACCAATTTACTGATATCACATCTCCACTGGAAATCTCTAAATAAAGTAGTGAAGGAGCTTGTCTTCTATGAGGACAGAAGATTTCCTCTTACAAGCACAGGAGAACAGGCTAGTGCCGGCAGTCTTGGATATGATGCTTCTGTACTCACATCCTAGCTACTGTCTCAGAACAAAAGATGTAACTTTCTACCTTCTTTTCTGAAAAAGAAATCACGAACTGTGACTGCCATCTAATGGACCAATTAGGAAAAAACCTCTTGCAGGCCCAATAGATTTCTGTCTTGAAACTCTGATGCTTTAAATGATCCACATCCATTCTTCCCATCTATTTAGCACCCTTTCCTCCTCTCTATGGCTGCATCCTCCTGTTGCTGAAACAACACGTATGGTGAAATGTGTAAGAAGGAAAGGCCCTGCCAAGCATGTACAGAGAGCTGTTCCCTCTCATCTCTGCAAATTCATCCTGTCCATGTATGCTGATAAGTTTAAAAAGTAAAAACAAAGACATACCCTACGAGGTACCTCTAGAGGCATTTTTAATACACCACACTAAAGCACTACAGCCAATCCCTATTCTGGATCTTTCCAGTCTGAAATAACCACAAACATCCAAATTGTACAAATTGCAGTGTTCCTGTAGAACGCTTCTGAAGTTGATGCTAGTGTTAGTGATGCTTCTGAGTTTGTTTTTCTACCACCATTCCTGAGAACTTCATCAGCCCCTTCTATCAGATTTAATTAAAATTCAACCTCAGTTCTGATCCTCACCTTTTCTCATGAAGGGTGACAAGTTGTGGTCCATTATGAAGGCAGGCAACGTGCAATAATTGGCCATGGGGTTGTCTTTCATAGTCTCAAACTTTGTATGCTCGATGATCTCCTTCAGAAGTGGGTTTGGAAGTTCCAAACCAAGGAATTGAGCAATTTTTTTGATTTCTCTGGCTGGATCCTAGGACAAATATGGAGAGGATTCTGGCTTTCTTGATTGAAATGGTTAGAAGATGGAGCTTGTTCTTTTCTCCAGAAGCAATCCAGAACAACTCTCTCTTGAGCCCTGAGCCCCAACAAAACAAGTATTTTGTATCCCGCCTGGAGCATCTTGTATAAATTTCCTCTTGTAATCATTAGTATTTTATCTATATTTGCCCATATTATACCACTGCACTGTCTTCCAGTTTCTTTCTGGGTGCAGTTCAGGGTGCTGGTTATCATTTCTAAAACTCTGCATGGTACAGGAGTAGCTTAACTGTGGGACCACCTGTCCCTGAGGATATCTGCCTATCCACCATGTCTGATAGGCTGGGTGCACTCCAGATCCTTTCTAGTGGGACGTAGGAAACATGCCTTGTACATAGTAGCCCCTGCCCTGTGGAACACCCTCCCCCTGAGATCTGGCAGGTCCCCCACCCTCCTAGCCTTCTGGAAGGCTTAAAAAGCTGGTGTCCCCCCCTCGCCCCCAGGTGTGAGTCTGGTTGTGGTTTCTTATATATTGGGGAGTGTTGGTTTAGGGCACCAGGAATTTGGGGGGGGGGGTTTTGTTTTAATGTTCTTGTTACTGTTGCTGTGAGCTGCCCAGAGTTATGGCTCATAAGATGGGTGGCCATATAACTCTCTTAAAATAAATAAATTAAAATAAGCTTTCGGTGTAGAATGAGCTTTCCTTAGTCCTTAGAGCTTGATATAGTGTATTTGTGATCCACCATCTCATGTTTGAGATTTGCTTGGTGCGTATGGGCTCTCTGTGTGTGCGCGCGCAGAAGCAGCTTACCTCTTTCATGTCTTCATAAAAGAGATACAGAATCGGGTGACGGTCCTTAGCCTCCCACCAGCCTCGGACATGGTCAAACCAAGAGCCCCAAGTGACTGCAAAAAATGACAAGAAGAGCAGCCTAATTTACCTCACTACTCTTTCTGCTTCTTAACTCTAGCCTTTACCAGCTTTCCCCAAAGAATGGTTTTCATGGGTATTGAACTATCCTGGCTGGGAATGATGGGAACTATAGTTCTTGGGGGAAGGTTGATCTACAGCTTCTCAGATTTACGGGGAAAATCATTAATGAGTTTTTTTCAGATTCACAAAATTATCCTCTACATAGAGTGATCCATACTTCTTTTAGATGGGGTTGGTCAATAGTTTGTTGGCTATACTTCATGTTTTCTGTAGCCTTGATGGTCACAGAAAATGAAATGATGGCGATGGCATGACGACATATTTTTGCTAGGGAACCAGCAAACAATCAGCTCCCATTTGCTTTCCATTCCTGTTATTTCTCCACCATCCACTTACTTCTTCCTATAAGGAAATTCTCTAAAAATTGGTCCCAGTTCCCTGGCTCTGGCATCCCCTGGTTCATGCGGTGAAAATGGAAGTAGGAGACCATGTTGTCCTTAACATTCCTAGCTACATAAATGATCTGCAGAAAGGACAGAGAACCATAAAGACTTTAGGACAAGCTTTTTATACACACACACACTGTACACACATCTATCTATGTGGTTTCTAAGAGTTGACACTGACTTGATGGTACATAATTAAATCATACACACACACACCTTGCTCTGCCTTACATAATTCCTATCACTGCCTCTTTTCCAGCACATAAATTATCCTAATCTGTCCAAGCTCCAAATTCTCATCTGCCAAGTTCAACCTACTTTCATTCTTTATGCTCCTACACACTCTCTTCCTATACTATGACCATATAAGCTCTAGGTTTAATTTAGGAAGCTGAAAAGGGTACCAAGGTTGAATTCAAGTGAGAATTAAGCTTTGCCTTCCCATGTAATGGGGAGAAGGAATAACCTTGAGGAGCAGGAGGAAGACTCTTTATGAAGACAGTGGTCAGATAAAAGAAATCTGAGAACTATAACCTGAAAAAACATCTCAGATGAGATCCTCTCTAGTTCTCACAAAGGTAAAGGGAGGGAGAGGGGAAGCACATTCAGACTTGCAAGATTCGATTACCATAACCTTATAATAAAAGTAGTATTGGCCTGCATGACCTTGGCTTCCTTGTCTGGTCTACCTTGAAGGGCTGACACTCCATCAACCATATTGTAGTTGTTCTAACCTTGCAATTCTGTTCCCAGAAGGAGGGTGGCAAAAGCTGGACTGGGAGGTGAGATTTCAGGGTCCGTGGGGAGGGCATTGCCTCTGCCATTTCCAAACCTGCAACACCGGTGGGGGGAAGGACATAATTCAGGCTCATGGTGAGGAAAAACATTCCACATCACCCCCATGAAGCAGTACCCTGCTACTCACCTGAAGGTATGGGTTTTATAGGAAACAAGTCTATGAAGGGAATCCGTTCATACATGGGAGCCCTTGCACATTTCTGTTTGTCTCCTCTATGCTGGAGCATGTCCACTATTTCTTGCACCCAGGTAGTCCCTGGTATGAGGAGTGTAGAGAAGAGATAGGGAGATCCTGAAATTTGGTACCTGTTCCTTGGTCTGCTACTTCAAGCTTTGTACCTCCTTCCCCATAACTTCCAACATGGTCTTCCACATCTCCTCCCCACTTACCTGCTTTGGGATAAGTGCAAATGAGAAGGTCATCAGGCTGGGCTTTAAAACTCCTTAAGAGCTCCTGGTTGGCAGCAGTTGTATCAAGTAAAGGGACTCCTTCAACTTCCACCAGCTCTGAGCGTTTGAGTGACCCAGGATCAAACTCCTCCAGTCCAGCTAAAAGATTCATGACTGGGTAGAAAAGGCAGGAGAAGGGAGTGGACCTGCAACAGATGTGATCTTGAATCTTTTTGTTTGGGATCCCAGCTTTTTAAAGATCCTGCCTCATTCTCTTCCTGCCCTATGTAAATTCTTTTCTTTCTCCACCTACTTTCTCTCTTGCTCTCTGAGATTTCGGCAAGGGCTGGAAATTTGCTAGGCTGTGCATGTTCCCAGGCAGTAGAGACTCAGGGAAAGTATTCCTAAATAAACTTACTTCACAGCTCTGTGAGGTGGGTTGGACTGAGAGATGTCCTGAGAGATGGACCTGAGAGACTGAGGGTGACTGGTCCAAAGAAACTAACCAACTTTTACGCCTAAAGGAGACCAGAATTCATGGTCTCCCGGTTTCTAGTCCGGCGCTTTAACCACTACACCACACTATCTGTACTTTTAAAGCTAACTCTGTGTCTATTTCTTATTTTCTTACTGCCCATCTTAAGGTAGGATTCTCTTACCACTATAAGTCTATGCTTCTTAAAACAACTATGTTAATATTAAATTAAATTATAATTATATATTATTAATTATTATTAATTAATTAATATAATTATATATTATTAATATTAAATTATATGTTAATATTAAATTAAATGTGTTAATATTAAACAAATATTAATATTAAATATTAATGTATTTAATGTATGAATTTTTATCCCTAATGCCCTATATCCTGATTCTATAGTTCCCGTTTTTTGCTGTTTAGCAGCTGTCTGGAGTTTTTCTGTTTTCCCCGTCTTCAGCTCTTGTAGCCAAACCTAGCACATTTATATCTGAAGGCCCTTTTTGTTTCTTCTCTAAGGACACGTATGGTAGTCTAGGAGCATGTCTTCTTCCACCCCTCAGCCCTCCCACTCCTCTCTTTCTGGAGTTGATTTGTCGAATTTCCTCTGGCTATTGCGTGCCGTTGGCCAGCCCTGCGCAAGTTGTTCAGGCCCTGCCTGTCCTTTGGCTCTGCCCCAGCTTATCTTCCCATGAGGAACCTGCTTCACAATTGCAGTTCCCTTTTGATTGCCCTCTGAGTTTGCTTGGCACGGTCTTTGCACTTGGAGGCTTTTCTCCTGCTTCCCCGCAGCCTTTCTGGCTCAACCCCTTCGTCGCGGCACATATGCTGGTTTCTAGTCCATTTTAGGGCCCACGCACTCCAATTAAGGAGAAGGTGCAGCTGATTTAAACCTTCTTGTCCAGATGTGGCAACACTGAACATCTAGATCTCTGGAGGAAAGGAGAAACACCCGCTCATTCTGGCCCTGCTTTCCACAGGACACCTTCACATAGCGTCATTTGTACTTCCCAGTCCCCCCCCCTCCCCAAATGCGTTGAAGTCAGTTGTGTGATAGTCTTCATTTCTGCTGATGCCAGAACACTGAGAAGAGGCTGGGAACACCATGAGATGCTCAGGGCTGCCTACAGCTGACTAGTAGGAAATGACAAATATTATTTAGTTCAGTGCTTCCCTCCCTGAGCTAAAGCAGTTCTTGGAGTATGGTAAATAAAATACCCTTTGCTTCTTTTGCACCCTGAAAAGGGGAGGGGGAGATTGCTATCTCCAATATATGCTGTGTGCATTTGGCTGACTTTCTTGCAGAAACCTCAATTGGCGGTACTAAGAGAAGGCTGGCTCCCTGTCAAAACTTCTCTCCCTACACACTCTTAGTGAAATGGCATGTGATAATGGCATACCACTGGAGTTTTACAGCCAGTTTCCCAACAGTTGCAACCCAAGCTATATATGGTGGGGTGGAAGAGAGAGGAGAAACATTCTTGAGGAATGAAAAAGTCTGTTGCAGGCTGCTTAAATAAGCAAGAGGGAAGGAAACCAGTAGAAAATGACTAGTGTTTCTCAACCTTGGCAACTTTAAGACATGTGGACTTCAATTCCCAGAATTGCCTGGCTGGGGAATTCTGGGAGTTGAAGTCCCCATATCTTAAAATTGCCAAGGTTGAGAAACACTAGACTAGACACTGGGTTAAGAATAGATACCCTGGTAAGGTGACCTGTGAAATTTACAAGGGAATTCCAGAAGGAGAAGATGGAGGAAGGCAAGAAATTCTCACAAATATGGACCTGGGAAAGTTTCAGAGTCCCAGATTGCAGTACAAATGCAAAGGGAGTGAATGGTCTAGAGGAAAAAGAAATACAGAGACCCAGCAAGGAAAAGTGCAAATATAAAAGCACAACATGGAAAGTTGCAAGTACTCTACATCAGGGTTCCTCAACCTTGGCAACTTTAAGATGGGTGGACTTCAACTCCCAGAATTGCTGGCTGGAGAATTCGGGG